AATCCTAGTGGATATCTATCTAGAGGAAATTTATGCAGTGGGTGTAAAGGAAGTGCTGGGATGCCACGCCTCATTTAATTTGCTTTGGCTTACTTTTCATTGGGATCTATATTCGTCCTGAGTAATTTTCCCAACCACACTGGAAACATGTCTGTTCCTCCATATACAATGTTATGCATCTGGCTTCTGTCTATGGAGGAAGAGGTGCTTGTCTTGGTGTGGGGGTGGAATTTGCCTGATCTACCCCACCTTTTTTTCACCCAGCATAAGACTAGAAAATCACAAGAAGCAATGGAAACATGTGCTACTAAATCGCCACCTTTAACCATTCTCAGTGACCACCACTACTCTGCCTCAGTGGTCCTGAGTGAGAATTTGAGGGGCTAGAGATTCTGAAAAATGAAGCACCTGCCAAAAGTTTCTCAGGTTGAGGGATGTCCTATATCCAGAGAAGCTTTGAAAACTCTTTCTATAGTCACTCTGGTGTATGGTCTAATGTTCATTTGTGGATCATCCATCAGAATCTCATTACTGTAGTCTAGAGAATTTACCAAGCATTTATTCAGCTTTCCATTTCTATAACCAAATGCTTGAGATAATGAACTTTAAAAAAGGAAAGGTTATTTCAGTTCAGAGCTTTGGAAGTTTTAGTCCAGGACCAATTGGTCCCATTGCTTTGGGCCTCTGTCAACACCTACACCACAGTGGGAGAGCGTGGTGGAGGCAGCCAGTTCATCTTAGGCTTGGTGCAAAAAAGAAGGGGGAAGCCCCAGGGTTCCAGATCCTTTTTCAGCACACACCCTCCCATGACCAGAAGGCCTCTCAGTAGGCCTCACCTCTTAAAATTTCTATTGCTTTTCAGCATTATCACTCTGGGGACCAAGACTTTAACACACGGGCCTTTGGGATGCATTTCAGATCCAAATCGATAGATCAAGGCTCTTGCAAGCTCCTTGTGTGGACACACCCTGTTTTGTCAGGTGAGATGATTAGTGGCCAGATTGCTTTAACTAATGGGTTTTTAAATCAGAGTAACAAATATTCAGAGATTTTCAGAACTCACCAAATAACAGCAATGTCACAACTAGATGGAAATGTAGCACCATTTGGCCCAAGCTTTCTCTGGTCTCCCTTCAACAAAGGTATAATTACAGAGGGATCTTCTGTCTTCCAGGAGGCTTTCCATATCCATTTTTCTACTTCAAAATAAACCACGCAAATCTGTCTATGCTAGTTTCTACAGGTAGGTCTTAACAAGACAAACCTGAGTTCTGTTTCCTTGCTGTGTTCTACTCCAAACGTCTCTTTGCATGTAATGGATGGCACCCATTCCACTAGGTGTGAACGCTGGCCATGGAAGGCTGTATTTTTAGAAAGTTTTGTTTATTATCACTTCATTGCTTCATGTGAGTCTGGATGCTGTGCTGTCTCTTTCCTGGCCCTCCTATGAAAGATAGGAAGTTGGGGCTGTTACAAATGTTCAGGATCAACTAACACGGTCTTCCAGCCTCACTCACAAATGCATCATCTTCATAATCTTATTTGGTTATTTTGAGTACTAACAGATTTTATTGAATAGACTCTTAAGATCACCTTTTAAACAAATGGAAAAAGATATTTTACTGCTTTCATTTGATTTTTATTTATTTTAAAGAAAAGGAAACAGCTTATTTAAAGATGGGGAAGGAAAAATGAGGATGATGGCAAGCAACTCTAGACAAATAGGAAAAATTCAAAAGTGAATTGCTTATGAGTGTCTTGCCTGTAGCTTCTTTTCCTGAGATCTTTGTCCTGCAAATATTCTTACTGCTATCATTTAAAAGAAGACTTTTAAGACGATATGCTAGATATATATATATTTATATATAGAAAACACAGCTAATAATTTAAAATAAAATAATAATTTGAAATAAAGTGAAACTAAATTGTCTATTATTTTGCATTCCACTTGTGATACAGCCCTGAACTTGGTACATACAGTTATAATGAACTTCTTAATAATACAGGTGAGAAAACTGAAGCCTAGTGATGTCACATTACTTGGTGGAGACCATACAGTCAGCCAGAAGCTAACCTTGGAGTTGAATACAGGATTCTGAATTCATTAGAATGATAGATCTCTGTAGTTTACCACGTACCCAGTCATTCATTCAGTATTGCAAAATGTTTGGAGAGCAAGCACAGTTCCAGGTGTTGTGCCAGATGCAAAGTATATAATAAACACTTGTTCTGGTGGACTCAGGATTCGGTGGGGAGAGTGAAGTTTAAGAAGCTGTCAGCATTGAGTTATGTGGCCAGATCTGCGATAGAGGCAGGTACAGAGGACAGCGGGAGAGAGAAAATCAAGGCCTGGGATCCATCCAGGGGAACCTCTACGCTTCTTCTTATCTAGTGTTTAGGAGAAGTTGTTCTCTCAGCAATCAATACCACTCAGATGTCAAATTTTCTGCCCCACAATCCTGTAACACTGGTTAAAAGAGGGATTACTTCTCATGTCCCTCAGACTGGAGTCAAATCCCAGCTCTACAAATCTCTTGCTTGGTGACGTAAGTATATTGTATCATTCCTCAGGGCCTACTTACTTATCTTTAGGATGAAGTTGGCATGATCTGTTGGTATCTTATGGATGTAAGAAGAAAGTGGAGTCATTCCTAGAAGGCATTGAACACGGTCCCTTGTCCTGTAATAAATACTCAAGAAATGAGAGCTATCACCCATGATTCTGCATAGATCATTGCCTACATTCCCACCCCACCCCATCTTCACACTGAATCACAAGTTTTTTTTCTTTCCACGTATCTGTCTGATATTGCCGAGCTCTGTTGTGGAGATCTAAAGCAGCCCTTCTTGTGGTCTGGGTGGGTCAGAGCTCTGTGCATGTCCTGTGTTAAAGCATTCACTTTCCTTGTACACACAGGTGAGAAGTCACCTGCCAAATGCAATTTAAAGGATGACTCATTACCAAAAATCAGCCTCATAAACTTGGTGACCCCATGGTCTCTGGGCCTAGCAACTGGAAGTTGGCCAAGACTGTCTGACTTTATTTCCGGAGGCAAACATAGCTCCAGCATGACCCACACTGGGCAGTGAGAAATCTCTCGTGTTCCTAACACTTTCAACAATGCCCCATTATGCATGGTGACTCAGAAATGGGCCCATGTCCACGGAACAGCATGTGTCTCTCCGCAGTGAAGACAGTGCCTTGCTGTATGTTTGAATTAATTTCTTAGCCTTGTGTCTGTCACCTACTTTACTTGCCTTCTTTTCTGATAGTGGCTGGAAACTTTTAGAACCAGAGAAATCCAGAAAAGACCTGCAGACCTGCCCCCTGGGCAGCCACACATTGGGGACAGAACTTGGGAGGAAAATGGGTCCAAGCTGAATTAAAAGTAAAGCATTGGGTATCTTTGCAAAAAGATACTTACCTTAGGTGGCAGACTAAAGAAGGTATTCAGCTTGTTGGTAATTGTTGTGATTGTTACTACTGTAAGTTTTCTTTGACACATGAGGGAAAAGACTGCACTATATTTAAACAGCTCCTGAGACATGGCAGAGTCAAGGAGGCATTTTGAATTCTGCGCAGTGAGAGCTGATTTACTTATATTGTCACTGTAAGGAACTTGTGGGCCTGTGTACTCTAAGAACATAGATGATTTCTGACATTCTGATGGTGGAGAACTGCTGGCAGTGGATCTGGCCCAAGGATGCCTTGCCCATTGCTTTTCCCCCTTGCTGGCACTGAGGCACTGGCTGGACTGAACTGCAGCCATGTTGGAGGGCCCCGTGGAGCTGAATGGGCTCAGAGCCATCCTTGCTGGACCACTTTGGACCTTTGCACCGCTGCAGACATAGGAACACCTGCGTGTCTGTAGCTGACTCTGTGGTGCACCTTCACCTGGTGCCAACCACCTGCAGTCAGCAGAGATTCAGTTCCTCCTGCAGGTCTTCTGAGCTGCCCATGCCCTGGGTGGCTGCCTCTGGTCCTTGCACAGGTTTCTATTTCTGCTCTTATCCCGCATAGTTTTCTGTTATCCATGTTGCTGTGTCGTAACAGTAAGGCCGAGAATTTAAGTTTCTTGGTAAGGTCTTTGCTTACTGCTCTCTCTCCTCAACTACATGGTGGATTTCTGAGAGCAGGGAATAGCAGTGGTACATCCCCAGCATTTAGAGAGAAAGCACTCAGGGAATGTTTGCTGAAAGATCAAACAAATGAATGACACCCACAGGTGACTCTATGTATGAGGCAAAATAAGGTTTCAGGGAGCCTGGAACTCCTACAATGGGTGTCAAGTAGGAATATAAGTCTCATGATATTGTAACTACAATTTTCCTTTTAAAAATCACATCTGTTACCTGTTGTGATTCCACACAGGTTTGCATGGATGAGTTTGCAGGATTGCTAGGTACCTGATTACAAGGGCAGTGGTTGAGGGAGGACTGAGGCTATGGGGTGCTGTGAAATGTGGGTTCCCATGAAAGAGAAGAGAAGGCAGGAAATCAAGCTTCCCTGTTATCCTGAGGCTAAGCTGGGGGTACCTTAGACCTGTGAGGTCCCAGGTGAGTTCCCAGGCCAGTTTCTGGCTTCTTAGACCAAGGACAATGCATTAACTGATCTTCCACTGACTTACGTGTTTATTCTTTGAACCAAGTAACACTGACCACCTGTAATATACAGGATTTAGCAACAGAATGGAGACTGTTTTTCCCTTATGGAGCTTTTAAGTAGTTGGAGAAAAACTGATACTAAAAAAACAAATCTACTGTGATACCAAATAATTTTCAGTGCTCTGAAGAAAATTGAAACAGGGAAAGGCAATGGAGGGTTAATGGGAACAGTTTTGGATATTCTGGTTAGGGTAGGGATGGGGGTGGGTGGGAGAGGAAGAGTGTGAGGAGGAGACAGAAGAGCAGAGACAGAGGAAGCGATCCTGCTAGCTGGGCTGCTGATTGGTGGGAGACAAAGAGACTGAATTCTAGCCCAGCTTCATTTCATTGAGCAGGATATGGACTTGAGGCAAAGACGTTCTCTTTGGAGATACAAGCTGCGCCATGTGATGACATTTTGGTCAAAGATGGACTGCATGCATGATGCTCAGCTGACTTGTAAGATTGTGATGGACACAGAGCCTGCCTGGTAAGCGTGAGGTCGTGACTTCGATTCCCCACACCAAAAAAAAAAGGACTATGTCGGAGATGTAAAATCCCTGTCACCTAGTGATGTTGTAACTATCATAATATTTCAGAACAATGTGCTCCTCATGTGTTTGGGGTGATGCTTGTATAAGCAAATTTACTTTGCTTCCAGTTAATTAAAAATATAGCACACATATTTATGGACAGTACATAATGCTTGCCCTTGATAAGAAATGATTTATTATTTACTGTACTATATATTTATTGTTATTTTAGGGCAGACACCGCCTAGTTATTTAAAGAAAGTTTACTTTCAAACAGTGTGCCGTGTTAGCTCACAGCAGCTGGAACCACCTCACCTTCACCACGGCCCTTGATCGCATCATCGTCTCTTGTGCCTCATGTGATCCCATGCTGTTGTGTTCACCGTGGCCTCACCATATGGACGCGATGTAGCGGCTCCACCATCCAGGTTTGTGTAGTGCCCTCTGTGCTGTTCACACAGCAGCCGAGTCACCCAGTCTCTCAGAATGTGTCCTCATTAAGCGAGGCATGGCTGCAATTCGTCCTAACTGAACTGGGTGTCACTGATGACTAGCTGATCCTGGGGAGCTGTTGTCCCCTTCCTTCACAATCCAAGCCTGTTTCCCTGAGCTCGGCTGCAAGATCCTCATAGGTTGAGTGTTTAGCTGCTTTTCTGTAGAATACAGGAGCACTGTAAAATCACTGGCATTTGTTTGATAGGTTGCTCTCTGTGTTTTATCAGATTCTTAATATTTTCACTTTAATGCAGGTAAAATAGAAACTCTGGAGCCACCAGCTCAGTTCTGATTCCACCATTTACCAGCTGTGTGATATGGGTTAAGTTACTGTCTATACACTGTTTCCTCGTGTGAGAAATGTGAGTGCTAACCGAGCCATTTTTTAGGGCCAGATGAATTAAGCAGAGACTTGGAGCAGTGCCCGGCATGTGCCCTGTGTAAGTGTTTGCTCTTCGGACTGCCTGTGCTCCTCCTTCACTGACTCTGTGACTTCTTGTGAGAAGATGCTTGTTCCACTGGGCTCTGACAATGTCTGTGTCAGAGTTGGCATAGGGTGGGTACCTAGAATAAATGTGGGGTACACGGGTGAGTGAATGTATACTTGTTGTTAAACTTTGAGGGTGATGAAGGAAAATCTGGCAGAGGAGGGTGATTTAAAAGAAATGGAGCAAAATCCTGTTAAATCCCCTGTCCTGCAAAAATGCCTGAGAATTGAGGCCAGAGGTGGCTTGGCGCATCTCATGTGGGTTCCACACTGACCTTGATTGTCCACTAGCCACCTGAGGCTCCTTACAATATCATCCACATCTTACTCCCCATAAGCACTCTACGAGGTCATACTGTCACTGGTTCCATTTTACAGATAAGGAAACTTGAGGTTGGAGAAGTGATTTTCTTAAGATCACATACAACACTGTTATTCTAGAAGATTCATACACGGTTTCATTGTTGGGTCTTTTTCATCTGCCACTTATTAACAGTTTTTGTTGCACTGCCCTAGGCCAAGGACTCACTCTTTGGAAACTCTTCCTTCACCAGAAGTGAGCAGAGACCTTTGACAGGTGGAGGTGCCCACCCTGGGTGCTGGGCACTCGTGTCTTGGAGGCTTTACAGCTGCTGCTTCTCAGGAAAGAGAGGTCTGGCTAAGATCAATCCATTTACAGACCAGGAGGTATTTGATATCTGGTATCTGGTAACCACACCCTGAATTTGGAATGTAATGATAGAAGTGTACAATTATGTGGGGAATCAAAGATGGAGGGACATTTTCCTTCTGAGAATGGAGAGAAATGTAGTATTTATTAAGTGCTTACAGTACTCCAGGCACATTGAATACTCTTAATAGTCATCTACTTATGAAGAGCATTTTACTACCCCCATTTTGCAAGGAGGAGACTGAGGCATGTATAGACAGTCTCAGACTAAAAAGTTCAACCCACAGCTTTGAATTTTGGCCAGGAATTTAGCTCAGTGACTTAAGAGCCTGCTTGGCAAGTGCAAGGTCATGAGTTTGATTCCCAGTACAAAAACAAAAAACCAAAAAAAAAAAAAAAAAAAAAAAAAGAAAGAAAGAAAACAGTTTTTCATTTTATGGTCATGTAAATGCCATATGCATTCAATAGAAGTGATAGTTCAAAATTTGAATTTTAATTTTTTTTCCCAGGATAATAATGTGCCGTATGGTGGTTTCTAATGATGCTGGGCAATGGCGGGGAACTACAATTCCCCATCAAACTCCTAATTACAAAGGCGAGCACCTAACACTCTCATTTTCCTCAGTTTCTCTACGGTGTACTGGGTACATTTTCAGTTTTCAGCTTATGATACACCCACCAAGCCATAACCCCATTGTAAGCTGAGGAGCACCTGTACTGGTTTTCTGGCTTGCATGAGCTCCACCAGAGACTTGAAATTGGGTCTCTCGTCCTTCAGAGACTTGTGCTTTGGATTGTCTATTTTTGAGATTGTGTAACTCACTGTGACTTAGAGTGAGGCTCTTACACTATCTGTGTAAACAGGGCACAGTTACTTTAAATGTGAGTAATTTCATGACCTTGACAGAAAATTTACTCATTCTGGGGAAACTTTATTGCTAAGAAAATCCCAAGGATATGTACTTGAAGGCATACATAGATATCCGTGTTTATAACATCATTCTAGAATAGCAAAAGATAGCAATAACCCAAGTGTCCATTGGTGGTTGAATGGATAAACAAAATCTGGTCTATATGTACAATGGGATATTACTCAGTCTTACAAAGGCAGGAAATTCTGACACAGGCCTCAGTCCTAAAGACAATAGGCTAGATAAAGCAGTCCAGACACAAAAGGACAAATACTGTGTAAGCATGCTTGTAAGAGGTATCTTAGGTAGTCAGATTTATAGATGCAAGAACCACAGTGTGATTGCCAGAGCTGGAGGGAGGGGGTACAGGAGCTGTGCTCTAATAGATATGGAGTTTCAGTTTTTGCAAAACAAAAAAGTTCAGTGAGTGGAGGATGTGACGATCGCATAGTAATATATTTTATGTCTCTGAACTGAGCACTTAAAAATGGCTTTGTGCATGTCCTGCCTTTGCAGAGGGGAGATGGGAAGAGGGAGAGAGAGAGGGACAGAGGGACAGAGAGAGACTGCTGCATATGAGCAGTTTGATATTTTCTGTTGAATTTGGCTTCAAGGAACTTAACTTTCTCAAACTTTGCCAACCAGTGGTAAAGGAGTGGTGGGAAGGGAGGGTCAGGCTGGTTCTGCTGAGCATCCTGAGTACCGAGTCAGCACTTCAGTGGCTGCTAGGCTCCTGGACAGCTTGGAGTTGAGAACCTTTCTCCCCCACCCTCCCTCCTTTTTTCCCACCTATTTATCAAATGTCCTCTGTGCACCTTTCACTCTGCCAGATACTGGATGTAACAATATGTGACCTGCGGCCAAGCATACTCATGATTTCTCCCCTTTACTGTTTTTATCAGTATTGACACACTCTTAATCTTGCTTGATATTGATTCATGTTCCATTATTTTCTATGCCAGTTTTTTCCCCTAGAGGAATAAAATCCATTGCTTCTGCTTTAATTTCCAAAGCTGTATAAAGGCCGAACAGAAGGTTCACACTGGGAGCGAGGAGACCCTAGGTGACCGGCACCCCCTGGACTGTGAAGAGTACCCTGTGGATGGGAAGGGCCCTGGAGAGTCCTTGGGTCTGGAGAGCGAATGTTTTCACATTTTTCTGAATCTGGTATCGTGGGAATTTGCCTGGCTTGTTTTCTGGCAAGTGTCTGCCTTGGGTTCTGAAGACTTGGAAAGACAGACAAAAGATTCTTCCCTTCCCTAAAATAGCCATGCATTTGTTTAAGACTTGACACTGCTCGGAGGCTGGAATTTCCCTCGGTGTTTATTTTCACATCTGGGTGATGGTCTTCTGCCACCCGAGGACTGTTAATGAATCACTTCAGAGATCACAGTTAATGTGTCCCAGATGGGAGGGGGGTGTGCTTTTTCTCCAAAGCCTTGCAAGGGCAGGACTGACTTGGCTTCCTGGCTGGCCACTTGGAGTAGCTCTGGTGGGTGAAGCAAACAGATATTCCTCCTCTTTCTGGGAAACCTGTGGGGCTGCACATCCGAGCGCTCTCTTCCTCCATGATGGGAAAGGTGGAGTGGAATGGAAACGAAGAAGACAGGCTCCTCTTCACTGGCTCGAGACCTCCTCGCTTGCATTCCCTCTGGTAGCTGCCAGCAGAAACCATGCTCTGCTGTGAGAGGCTGCTGCATGCACTGTCAGGGTCTCCCGAGACAAGGCTGGCTGGAGTTACCTTCCTAAGTGCCTCTCTGGAAGCTGTTGACCACCAGGGAATCTTTGGTTGCCTGTGTGTTGTCAGGGCCTCTCATACCAGCAGAGGTTAGTGGTGGCCGGTGTCTCCAGGACCCCAGAGATTAACAGTGCCTGATCACTGCCAGCCTGGTACACAGGGTCCTGCACAGCCAGTCTCTGGTCTGTGTTTCCCTGTCTCCCTTCCAGCACACACGCCATGTTCCAGTCACCCCCAAAGGCTCTGTTGCCCCAGTCCAGATCCACTCTCCACATTTCTCTGTCCAGCTCTATATGGCTGCTGGGGATGCATTGTTCTGGCTGTCCTGCTGGCCAGCTTCCTTCCTGTTACCGGCTTCCTATGTGCTGCTGATTTCCTGGTTTCTGGTTGCATTTGACCAATGGGAAGCCCTGAAGTCTGAGGATTAAGGGCAAAAGGGTGGGCCCTGATCACTTAGCAGTACTTTGGAAGTCTTGGGTCCTCTCTACGTGACTTTCTTTTTCTGCTCTCATGTGACTGGCGTAACACTTCATTCTTTGAGGCTAGGGGTGGTACAGCACCCCTTGTGCCTACACCCCATTGTGTCCATCAGCAGTGACTTTTTGCAGTTTTGCTAACTCACCCACATCTTTGTTAATAATCTCTTTGTT